GCCTAAAAAACAAAATGAAATGAACTCTCATAGGACTAGAACAATTGAGCAGAAAAAACCTATGTCCATAGAATGACTCTTGAGTGCTAAAATTTAATTGAGACGGATTTAGCTCAAATTCAAGGAAGATCGATACTATCAAATCAGAAATGTCACAGTAAATCAAAGCATTCGTCCTCAAAGCAGAAAGCCAAAAAACTAAATGAAATGAACTCTCATAGGACTAGAACAATTGAGCAGAGAAAACCCATGTCCATAGAATGACTCTTGAGTGCTAAAATTTAATTGAGACGGATTTAGCACAAATTCAAGGAAGATCGATACTATCAAATCAGAAATGTCACAGTAAATCAAAACATTCATCCTCAAAGCAGAAAGCCTATGTCCATAGAATGACTCTGAGTGCTAAAATTTAATTGAGACGGATTTAGCAGAAATTCAAGGAAGATCGATACTATCAAATCAGAAATGTCACAGTAAATCAAAACATTCATCCTCAAAGCAGAAAGCCAAAAAACAAAATGAAATGAACTCTCATACGACTAGAACAATCCAAGTCAAAATTGTACAACTTTTGTAGTCAGATAGCAACACATGGCATAAATATGGGTTATTTGACTGATTAAAAGTAAGCCTGCAGTTCAGGAAGCAATAGGAAAGTGAATACTTATTCGGCAGAAATGCAACACGATAGCAACATCCTATGATGAATTTAATTTTTTGTACCAGTCCCTTGATGAATTCGTTTAAATGGTAACAAGATTCAAACAAATTCATGACAGGATGCTGCTATTTTTATGCATTGCCATAAAATAAGAGGCAAACAAATATGGGTTGCCATTAGTTTTAAACTTTAGATGATTTTCATCATTGCTTGACCATCACCTATAAAAACCAGCAAGTGTACTCTAGAGGAAATAGAACCAAAAAGAAGAAACATTACCCAATAAGAAGAAGTAGCCCTAATGGGTTACTTCATCTTATCCAATAAGAAGAAACATTACCCAATTCCATCTCCTGGAAAGAGAGTAGCCCTAATGGGTTTGGTGGATAAAGAAGAGAGACGCCGACTGTGCCCACAACCAGGCTCTGTCAACTCCCTAAACAAGCTGCCCTTTAGCAGCTGCCTCGCCGATTTCGTAGAGAAAGAAAGTCTCTTATTCCCCCTGAGGAGATATAAAATGCAGCCCTGACTTTCTAGGTGCAAATGTGCAGGTCAGGTAACGGGGGACAAAAGGGTTTTGGAAATTTTCAAAGCGCAGCGCTGTTGTGAAGCGTTCAGAGAGAGAGGCACTCGCGTGAGGCAGAGAGTTTCACAAAGAGCGGGAGCAAAAGGGTTTTTTCAAAAAAGTATTTTAGAGAGAGAGAGAGACAGAGAGAGAGGCAGAGGAAAGTAACAGCAGGATTTTCAAATAAGTATTAGAGAGAGAGAGAGAGAGGCAGAGGAAAGTCACAGAGAGCGGGTGCGAAAGGGGTTTTTCAAAGAAGTATTTTAGAGAGAGAGAGGCAGAGGAAAGTCACCGTCAACTTAATGGGGAGCCAGTTAGACGGTGAGCCTCCCAATCTCATCCCGAGATTTGCTCAAAATCCAACGGTTAGTCGTTGGGGGGAGGGTCCTCTAAGATCATTACTCCTAAAAAAAAAGTCGGCGCAGACTATCTTACCTAAGGAGTACGCATATGGTATATGCTCCCGTGGCGTATGGAGTATAGTACTCATATTTTGAAGTCTAGGAAAACGAAAAAATTGTCCGAAGTTTCCTTATAATTTACAGGAAAGGGAGCGCGCTTGGCTTAGATCTTAGCTCGAGGAGAAGCCCGGCCTTCTCGCTCTCTTCGCCATTGCCAAAATGATGAACAGTGGTTATACCAATATTGACAACCAGAAGATCCCCGGATCTGTCCCCGTAAGACCCACAAGTTCTCTCTCTCTCTCGCTCTCTCTCTCTCTCTCCATTTTTATCATATATTCATTTTTTTGCTTCCGCTTACTTTCTGGTATTCTGGGTTTCTCTCTTATTTCTTTATCAATTCATTTCAAGTGGGGCTAATTAGATCTTGGCACTTTCTTCAATTTACAGGCCGTTTCTAGTCCAGACCATGTCGCGCTGAAGTTTCCAGGTGAGAATCGGAAATTAATTTCAATTTCACTTTGTAGGGTATCTCAAAATTCAGCTGAAATCTTAGTTGCATATGAATTTTATTGGGGTTTTTTCTCATTATCGAAATCTCGTAGTTTCGGTCTTTGAAATTCTTCTAGCTTTATTTGGTATCGCAAAATGCAATCGCTTTTTAATGTGGCATGGAAAGAACGTCAATTGTTTCTTTTTCTTTTAGAATGCTGGTTATTGAATCTTTTTGTGTCAAACTCAATTTTCAAGTTTCATTAACGCATGCAAAGAAATCCATTCTGTTTTTTTTTTCTTTTTGGTAGAATACTGATTATTGAATCCATGGTATGTGCAATTCAATTTTTGGTGATCATGGTTATTTTTTACCATTACACAGAATCCAATCTTCAGACATTTCCACCTTCAGAAACTCAAGGCAAGATCTCGGGCACCTTTCGTCCGCCTACTGATGCAGATGGTAACAATCATTTTTCCTATTTTCACAGTTCTATTTGTTCAATTTTTTGGTTGATTTGATCATCTATGGTTGCTAGTACATACGATTTTTCGGTCCAGTTTATGTGGAGATTTATGAGTTCATTAAGGTTCCTATGAAAATAATTGTCCCTTTATCGATTCAAACAAGTTATCCTCTTTCTTCGTTTCCTAGTTTTCAAATTGTGTGTTTTACTGGAATTGGATTTGGATGTTATCAGATACGTTTTCAAAGCCAGCTTCTGGAAATACCAATAATGAGAGTCAGCCAAGTGGGTGGCTGCGAATGTTCACAGTTGCTGCTTACAAACCCTATTTTGATGTTGATACCTCTGATGTTTTGGAAAGGATTAAGGAGTCACTTATCCCATTTAAGGGAAGCTTTTCAGAGAAGATTGTTGACAATCCAGACTTGTAATTTGTTCCCCTTCTTTCTCTATGCTCTATCAATTTCAGTACATTTTCTCAAAGATTTTAGCGTCTTTCACCGGTGTTTCCATATGATTCCATCATATTTATTTATTGTTTACAGTTTCCTAGTCATTCTGATGCATATTGTACGGTTCATTGTTTATGGTTTCCTAGTCATTCAGATGCATATTGTATGCTAGTGAATGATATCTTAAATACTTTGTAGAATTTACGCATCTCTGAAGTATCCTTGCATTGGATTTCTACGTATGCTTATTTTTTAGTTTGAATTGTTTGTGATGTGGTTGCCTTTGAAAAATAGGTCTTATGTTTGAAGGCCAAAAGATGGATGTTGATACCTTGTGTTGATCAAGTTGCATTTATGTAAATCTATAGTTTTGTTTGAATAAATCATTTGCCACAGAAACACCAAGATTTGCACTACCCAAAAGTATTAATCACTTCATCAATGAAGGGAAAAAATTCTTGACTTGGAAGGGGTGTCTGTGATGTGTAGGATTTGTGAACTTGTGGATTATGGATTTCATTGAAATCTAGATCAACATCATTAATTGCTCAAGGTGATGCTAGCATCCTCTAGCGTGGTTACTGTTTCCTTGCATCAAGGATTAATTTTTTATGATACTCTAGCTGATAAAAGCAAAACCTGTGCTTGAAAATGACCTTTTAAGGTTCCTCTATCTTCTTTAGATAATTGAGGTTGGAATAATTGAGTTTGAATAGCACTAGAAATATAGGAGAGACTTTAATATTTGTTTTCTTCCATTGTGCATTTTCTGCTCCAAATAGTTGTTGGGGAAGGTACAGTAATGAGTCCAACATGGCATTGAGGGAGATCTTGACCTTCAAGATTCCAAATAAATCTATATAACCTTGTTTTCCCACTCAGCTCTTTTTCTGTTTCTTTCTTCTGCAATTCTGGGAATCATTGTTTTTCCATTGAGCTTTATAGTCTCAACTCGTGTGATCTATACATCACATCAAGGAGGTTCAATCTAAAGAATAAATGAGAAACTTAGGTTCTGTTTTGGAGTGGGATAGGGTAAGGAAGGCAATGGATTAGCACTGGTGTTCTATTACACTACTTATGAATGGAAAGGGTTGGGACCCATTCCAAATAGAACGCAAAATGCCACTAAGCATCATTTTGCATGTCTGCAATAATGTGAAAGGGCGTACAAGTGAAGTCCCAAAAGCGTGGAGCATATATCACTGACACGATGTCATAGATTTGATGAAAATAAGGGATTCTGACCCTTTCTCAAATGCACTATGGGGGTTTAAGAAAAGAATAATCGAGCATAAAGTATCATGAAATTGGTGCAAACCTGTTTTTCTAGCGAATAGTGCACTTCAATCAAGTTTGAGAAAAAAAGAAAAAACATTAGATAACGTGTACCTAGAAGCGATACTTGGAATGCGCCATGATTTAAATAGTGGCTCAGCGTTATCCAAAACCCTAGAAAATGTGTTTGGAAAACAGTGATACAAGAGGATTATTCTTGAAGAGGGATTTAATTATTTATGTTGTCTTAAAGGAAACAGCTATGGAGCAAGCTATTTCTTTCTAGCTCCAAAATGGGCAGCAATTTTTTTGTTAATAGATGGTCATTGCAAAGGGGCCTAAGTCTCCCCTAGTGGTGAAAATGGGCCAGGGCGACCTAACAGGCCTTGAAGACCCATGGGGCCGCTTCATAGGGCCTTTCAGGCTGGGCCTTCCTGGATGAGATGCATTAGCTTGGCAGGGTTCATGAAGGCCTAACAGGTCCCTATCATATGATCTTTCAGTTTAATAGAGGTCCAAATGGGCCGGGATGGCCTTTATGGGCCTCAAAGGGTCGAGACCCACATGGGCCAGTAATGGGCCCCTCATAGTGACCATCAGGCTTAAGGCCTGTTAGCTTAATGGGCTAGGCCTGGGCACAGGGCAATTGCATCCCTAGTCTCTCCCAGTCCAAACCAAGAATGTCTTGATCTAGAATATCTCATGATACATGTTATCCCTAATATGGAAAATAAATATTTTGAAACCACCGTGAATCATTTGATTGCTAGTGAGGAGCTGAAGTGGTGATATAATTGTGAACACAACTTGGCTCTAATTATGGTACAGTGTAGTGATGCCAACGTTACCTCGGAAATTATGAGGAACATAGAATTTAAGGGATAATAGCATTTGTTTTTCCCAGATGTTTGGGCATCCTTCACTAAAATCTATTTGGCAGAGGGTGAGGATGTGAACTCTAGTTAGCAGTATTGCGACCAAACCAAACTTTCTAAGAAACTTTTCCCACCTCTCCGAATATTATGCTCTATCATTCTTTTGCCTTTTTTTATTTTTATTTGATAATCAGCCATTGATATTTTACTATATTTTGACACACCTATAAGCTTTGAAGCTAGCTAGTTGTTAACAAGCTTCAGAAATGCACATGAATCTGTACTTAAAAAACCAAATGATAATATCGAAAGGAACATGTAGCATGATCAATTCTAATATTTTATGGTAAAGTGGTTTGCTTCCTGAGCTTAGAATGGGTACATGTGCTACTCTGATATTTATCAAGCTGAGAACTGCTTGCCACATGTCTCATCAAGTTATGTCAAGCAAACTAAGAAAACAGTCTGAAGTACTAGCATGTCCTAAAGATCTGTGCAACATCTAGTTTTTTAAATTTCTGAAAGAACCATACCACATTGAAACATCAGTTTTGAAATAAGATAAAACAACATTATGATTAGTCCATGGGACCAAGAAAAATATTTAAGTAGAGCCGTTACCAACCTTTAGTTAAGGCTTTTTAGTTGCATTACATGAAAAGAAAATATAACATGTCCTACAGATATCCATCATATAATGCCGCAGCTCCTTGCTTATTATGTTTTTCAACATTTGTAGCTGGGATGCTTGAAAAATGGGTGCCATCTCTGAGTCTGATGCTATAAGAGCGTTGGGGAAATTATAGGTAACTGATGTCATATTTCTATGATTTTATCCATAGCCCTATCCAGGCATCACTGTTTATTTGAAAGGGTAATAAAGAGTAATTGTAATTGAGCTTAATATGTTTTCTTTGCTTATTTAGGACACTGATCTAGTAGTTTTCTATTTGCTATTATCCATTTAACATAAAAGGAGAAACTCAGTTTTAAAATAAGCATTATAGTTATGTAAATCCATATGAAATCAATGCACATTCGTGTAAATAAGTTTAGAACAAACGCATCTGATTTATTAGAAGTTCTTTATTATATCACTAGCATGAGGGAGTGGTTGGATTTATTTGAAATTTTCAACTTCTTTGGATTGATTTAGAATTTTAAATATCTGCTTCTTTCTGTCATGATTTTCTTTTTTCATTGCAACCATGCTTGATGGGTTGATTTGAGGGACCTATTAATCATCTCGACCTTCAAATTTATTGATGTAATCTGCTGAAATCAAGCATCTCTCAACTAGATAAGTGTGTTTCTTGTTTATAATTTTTTTACACATTTCGTCTTACTCCTCTATTGAGGATACATATCAAGAATTTGATATTTGAGATGAAAAGAATAAAGTTTCTATAGTTTGTCTAGCACCTTTACTTCATGTTCAAATTATTACTGGTCTTTAAGGCAAATGAGATTGTCTTATGAATTTCAAAATTTTCTCATGAGGGTTATTGGAAATTTTGTCCTTGATGTATCTTGATAAATGAATTATAATTGGCTGCATGAGCCAACCGTTCTTCCTGGTTCAGTCATTCTCTCATGGTTGCAGTAACATCTGAAGATCCAAACGCTCATCTGAATGTTACTGTTATAGCAAAATACTTCTTGATGGGTTTGACTTTATCATGTAAAACTATAGGGATTCCTGTACATATTTTTTTGTTTTTTTTGAAGATGAGGATTCCTGTACATACTTACAATGAAAAGAATAAGGGTCTAAAAGAAACTGCTTAACATAGATAAATGTTGCAAATTACCTGAGAGTTTTGTGCATAAGCAGGTACTTTTTTTTTTTTTCCTTTTTTTCCTTGTCCATAAGTATGCATGAATATGAACAGAACTTGTTCATAATAATACTGCCTCAGATATATAGAGACACTGCATCATAATTCAAGAGAAACTGTATCACAATGCAGTGGACTTTGATGTCTCGGTCCATTGAATCATAGTAAAAACTACCTATTGTAGAGGTAGAGAATGTATAAAATTTCAGAGTAGTTTAATATGTGTGCACCCAATGTGAAAACTGTCGGTAGACTTTGAGCTTGGTGGATCCAGTGTTGAAATTACTGAATCACTAAACTTGTCTTTCTGTAATATGCTTAGAGACACTAATGGGATCATTGATCCAATTCTTCGGAAGGGGATAACTATTTGTTGGGAGTGCAACCCTCTTTCATTTGTGTCGTCTAGGTTGTCCATGTTAAATATGTTGTGGACTGGTGGTATATATTGTTTAAAAACGTAATTTTCTAAACTGCTTCTCATGAAGAGTCTTTCTTTGCAAATCTTTTTGTGTGTGTGAGAGAGAGAGAGAGAAAGAGAGGGGCAGCAGAGAGGGAAGGAGATTGGTGCAATTGCTAAGTTACTTGTGTTGCCTGTTTAGAACTCAGTAAGTATTCATGGGTTGGTCACAGGTATGGACCATTCTGGATATGCACCTCTCTGATATTTGTGGCAGCATCCATCGGCACATTTATTACGTATTTGGCTCACAAGCTCAATAAAAAGGAATGGAATTATGACATAAACCTGGTCACATGGTCGGCTGGCTTATTCTATGGCTACGTCACCATTGTTCCCCTTCTTTTGTATGTCATCCTCAAATACTTCTCAGCGCCCTCCGGCCTCGTCCAACTCTGGTGCCTCTATGGATACTCCCTCTTTGTATTCATCCCCGCCTCAGTAAGTTTTCATAATTTCATTGATGTATGTGATCGCTCATGCCATTGACATATGTAATCTCTCCCCCCTCCTTCTCTCTCTCTCTCTCTCTCTCTCTATCTCTCTCTCTCTCTCTTGCATATTTTGGATCTCACTTTGCCGATATTGGTTTCCAGTGTTTGTCGATCATTCCATTGGAATTGTTCAGATGGGTTGTTGCTGGTGTCACGGGATTCATGTCAGCGAGTTTTGTGGCTCTCAATCTTCGAACCCACATTATGTCAGCCGGAGAAAGATGGTTCTTGCTTGTCGCGGGGATCTTTTTGATACAGGCTGCCCTGGCTGTCATATGGAAGCTCTATTTCTTCACCATAACCGTGGGTTAGGAACACTGAGGTGCCCCAGTGTAAGAGCGATGTAGTTCATAAAAACTTTTGAGAGAGACTGGGATTTCTTGCCCCCTTGATTGTTTTGCACTTACATACAACTCATTATCAGAAATATTGGTAACTTTGTGTTCTTTGATTTTTGGGAAATGCCATACAACTCCTCCTTGCTAGTAACATTCTCGACTTCTAGGATGTTTAGTCCTAGCTTCCAACATGGTGCTCTTCCTATCACGCATGCACATACTCATGCGTGGGTGCGTGCACATGCTCATGTACGCATGTGTACAGCTCCCAATACTTCATCTACTCAGGTTGGTCGTGAGGCTAGCAATTGGCCATGCATGGGTCGGGTCAGTCGTGGTCTGGGATGGGCCGGGCCAAACCAAATATATCAAACATAATATAAAAATAGAAAATACTGCCTGACCTGTTGTAGCCTTGGCCCAAGTCTGTTGACATTTTATGCCCATGGGCCAAGTATTTTGGTGCCGGGCCAGTCCAACCGGCCTACTGTCAACCTAGTTGGTCAACCAATTAGGCGTTTCCTTTTGGGTATTCCACTTAATAAGCTCAGGGAGTCTACTTGTTCACATATTCATACCAGTGAGATTTAAGCGTTGCCATTGGTCCTCATCACATTCTTTGTGAGGACTTTCATTTATTTATTTATTTTTGGATTGCATAATGAAAGTGATTGTAGAAAGGAGAAGTTATTATGCATCTTCATGTGTCCACCCCAACTTTTCATGGATTTACGACATCAAATACATCAGCATTTTACCCTTACATTCATTCATTTGCAACTCCAAAAATAGTGTGGAGTTTATGTTTTGCGGAAAGTACAATGAACGGAGAAAAAAATTAAAACCAAAACATAATTTCAGGAAATTTTATGTTCTGTTTTTTAGATTCATGTTCTTGTTTGTTGAGATGATTGACTTGTGAAATTTTGGATCTAAAATTCATCTCTGAAATGGATTTTGGAAGGGGGCTTGCATATATGACGATGTGCATCATTTGACACGCCTAACCTCGTCCTACATAAAAGACTTTGAAATTGCTTGTTTTTATCGAAACTGTTAATGACACTTCACTAAGAGAATGAAAATTGCACAATACGATGGGCGCAAGGCCACAAAAGAAAAAAAGGAAAACATGAAAAGAAAAGAAACATTGCAAGGCAGTGGTGGCTTTCACTAGAGCATCAGCACAAGAGTTCCTCTCCATGGTAACATGTGAAAAAAGTGCAATAGCAGCTTATGCTAGAGCATGAGCATAAGAGTTCCTACCCCTGTTAACATGTGAAAAATTGACATATCTCCCCCAAGATGAACTGTATCTCAGCCATAATTTCGTTCCGCGTCCACGGGGTTGAAGAAGGATCTTTGTACAATTTAATCACGTTAGAAGAATCACCTTCAATGACCAATCTCTGAAATTGTTGGTCAAGATTGAGCATGCAAAATTTAAATTCTCCATAGTCTACAATTCATCCATTATTTCTTACACTGCCATCAAAGTTTAGCTTTAGCCCCTGACGCAATGGCGGATACCACACCACAGCCTTTCTAATCTTATGTCTTTTGAGATGAAGTAACTCCCAAAAATCAGTCCAGAATTGTTCTTTGGGGGCATCCCTAAATACCGGGCTCACACCGGATGATAGATCGTACAATGGCCTGTCTCATATGAATGTTATCTCTGGCTGTGTCTTAAAAAATTCGATAGTTCCTCTCTTTCCAAATCTGCCAAATGAATGCTGCTACTGTTATCCTCCACATGTCATGCCATATATTTTGAAAAAAACATAATAACTGTCTATTTTAGCAATTGCTCCATTGTCTCAGACATAACCCAAGTACATTGAATTTTCTTTAAAACCCACTCCTACAGATTTAGGAAAAGTTTATGAGCATCCCTGATGCTCGTTTACAAATGAGCCCCCCTTCAAAAAATCCATCTTAGGGATGGATTTACAATCGGAGCCATATCCTATCTGGCTTTACATTTCCTCATCGGATCATGATTTAGTAGCTCGAAAAATAGCCTAGATCTGATGCGATGTTAAGATTTAAAATGAACAGTCCAAACTGTGAAGTCGAAAAATAGCCTAGATTTGATGCTATATTAGATATGAAAATAGATTTTAACATAATCCTAAGAATATTTTAGAACAAAATTATATGTTATAATAAAATTTGGAGGTGCAGCTTAATTGGATTGTTTAAGGTTGCAACAAACTACACCCTTTTCTAAGGAAAAAAATTTATATGAGGTTGCAATCTTAAAATGTAGAATTACGAATGCATCTCAAAAATCTATAAGGAAGGCTATTTTAATGTTGAAAAACCTTCTAATTGACCATCTCGACATTGATATGCATGAATATGAAAAAAAAAAAGGTTTTTAAGTGCTAGAAATAGTGCATCTTGCAACACATTATCTAGACCGTCCATTTTCAAGATTTTAGTATGTTCATAGATCTACTTGATTTTAACCATTTTTGGAGTTTAAAAATTTCTAATTAGATATGAAAATAGATTTTAACATAATCCTAAAAATATTTTAAAACAAAATATATGTTATGATAAATTTTGGAGGTGCGCCTTAATTGGATTGTTTAAGGTTGCAACCTTACAGAAACCACACCCTTTTTCTAATACTTGACATCTTTTCCTTTAATTATTTTGGAAAAAGTTTATATACGGTTTGAGGTCCTAAACAATTAAATTAGGGCGCATCACAAAACTTCACTAGAAGAGGTTGTTTCGATGTGGAAAAACCCTCAAATCGATCATCTCAGCCTCGAGATGTATAGATGTGAAAGGAAATAGATTTCAAGTTTGGGAAATAGTGTATATTGTACTGTATATCTGAGTCGTAAATTTTCAATATTTTCAAGTGTTTATGGATTTGCTCGATCCACACAAATTTTTAAGCTTTAAAATTTATAATTAAAAACAAAAATAAAATTCCACACCGTCACAAAGATTTTTTCGATTGAAAAACGTCTTTTGACACTATTTACAGCAGGCACACCTTTTTAGGGCGTCCGCACACCTAATTATTTTTGGCATGCGGTTGTGAAACTTTAGATCCAAAATCCATAAATGACAGAGATGGTGTGGCATATGAGGTTTCGGTACGGGAAGTCACAATTTGTGTTCACGTTTAGGACGGGTGAGGAGAACACATTTTTTTTTGGGATGGAATAATAATAGCAGTCAGGTATCAATCCTGTATATGCTAGGTGCCTATTCTCACACCACCAAACCCTTTAATGCGTAGAGAGGGAATCCTGAGCTTTTATTTCTTCGGATAAATATTTCTTGGAGTAAATTGGATTTCCTTGAAGCAATTGGTAAGTTTAATAAAGATTGAAATTCTCTTCTGGTAAATTCCCTTTTTTTGGAATAAATTTGTGTGTTGGAAAATCTAAATCAAATCCTCAATTTCTCAATTTCTAAACATATTTTGCTATAACTCCTCTCAACTTTTTTCTTTCATGCGGCATTAAATCTCCCTTGAAACTATCAATGTACCCCCCTCATCCCTTCTCTCCTTTTAACATGATATTTGAAATCAACCGTTTCTCTTATACCACATTAGGTAAAAAAAGACGGGAGGTGGATGTCCTTTTGGAAAAGAAAAGTTGGGAGGAGCTACCGCAAAATAAGTTAAAAAAATTAGGGGTGGTCCGTATAATATTTTCACATAAATTTAACAAAGATTAAATCCCTTTTTAGGTGGGATTTCAAATTGAGAGAGAGAGATTATAGAAGGATGTTAGTTGTAATAAAAAATTCAATGACCCTCGAAGGCATTTAGAAGGCCGTATAGATAAATGAGAGAGATTACATAAGGATGTCAGTTGTAATAAACATTCAATGACCCTTTAAGACATTTAGAAGGCCGTATAGATGAATATTATCACCGAACTTATTAAGGTCTAGTCTAGCTAAATCCAGTCTAACCAATGTCAAATTAATAGGCCGGATTTTTGAAAAAAAAGTAATAATAAAAATAATAATTTCAAAATATGAAAAAGAAAAAATCGCTCGACTTCATTTGGCTGATTGAACTGGCTAAGACTAGCTAGTTCAACTTGCCAAAACATATCAATATTTGCTTTTGAACAATCTTTTTATTGAAAATAATTTTGCTTTGGACCAAACTGGTGCAAACCGGTCAAGGCACCAATTGACGGTTGCCTAGTTCAGTCTGATCTTGATAACTATGGTATAGATAAGTAACTTAAGCACATATAATTATTAATGTTCGGTGCCATTCACTAGCTGATATTATTTGAAAAACTTCTTTTTGCTTAAATGTTCCAATAAAAGTGAACAAAATGATCCAAAATCTGCAAATATTAGGTTTAATACCAATAGATCATGTAGAACCCATAGCAAGGAGACTTGAGATCTCATATTGGCGATCAAAAAAGAAAGGAAAAATATCCAAAAAGGGGTTGAAACCTCTCACTATATCACTCAAGAGGTCAAAAGATTATAAATTAATTAAGCTTGATGATTTACTTTTAAATTGCTACCAAGTAGGTACTCTTTCAAAGAAGTCTGTAAAAGAAAATCTTAAATTACCCGTATTTGGTGTTGGGAAGCTAGAATAATTATGGGTACTTGGATAATTTTGCCACAAAAAGGCCTTAACAAATTGCCATAAGCCTCATTGGGGATAAAATTATCAAAGCATCCCTAATTGTTCCGGCTTCTAAACACCAAACGAAAGGAATTTTAAATATTTTACATATTTTTTTATGAAATACCTAATTGATATAAAAATTTAAAAAACATTACCCTCAAGTGCAATTTGTAATATTTTGCCCCTTAATGGTATTGTAATGGGTTTCAAACCTTTTTTGGTATTTTTCCATTCTCAAAAGAAAAATTCATGTAAGATGTCGATCTTATACTATAGAAATAAGGTGCACCTCTTCGGCATTAGAGAACCTTGATCATCTGAACCTTGAGATGAATGCATCATCATCATCATCCAAGCCTTGTCCCAATTATTTGGACCGGTTATATGAATCACATTCCTCCATTCTTCTCTAACCCTCAGTAATACCAAAAGTCATGATATCTTTACTCGCTCTTTCTAGCCATGTCCATTGGGTCATTCCATTGTCCTTTTAGAGCCTCACACTTAAACCA